CACACACACACACACACACACACACACACACTAAATGTAATAAATAAAAATAAATTTAAAAAAAAAAGGCTAAATGTGGTGTTGGGAGGTGGAGCCTGGTGGGAAGAGGAGGTCACAGAGGTGTGGTACAAGATGTATCTTCCCCTTCCTCTCATCCCTCTCTGGCTTTTGACCTGCCATGGGCTGTTTCTCTTCTCCAATCCCTTCTGCTGCCCCACCCTGCCAAAAGCCAGCTGGCTTTAACTAAATACATAGCCTCTACAAATTGTGAGCCAAAGTAAACCTCTTCTCCTTTAACTTGTGGCCATTTGGGTCTTTGTTTTTTCCCCCCTCAATACCGGGGATCAAACTTGGGACCTTGTGCTTGCCAGGCAAGAGCTTATGCCACTGAGCTATATTCCCAGCTGGAGTATTGTGTCTTAGTGGAGCAGAGAATAACTAAGACAGTGGCTTTCCTTTATTACTGCCATTTGAAAACTTTGATGGCCCCTCTGGCTGGCCCTACCTCAAGCATTCACAGGTCCCTGTGTGTAAGCCCGCTCTGATATGACTGGTTTGGTGAGCCTTTCTTCAGGCCCTGGCCTGCAGATTAAGGTCTACGCAGAGGCTGAAGGCGCAGGTGCACACCCTGCACCCACTGTGAGCGCCCCTACTACCTCTGTAACTGCCCAGGGTCTGGCAGCACCATGGCATCTCTGGCACAAGTGTTACATCTGAAGACAAGCATGACTCCACCTACACAAAAGTGTGACACGTCTTGCAGACAGGTGCTGTTTTCTCCTTGCTGTGTACGAAACACTGTAAGAAATGATGCTTCAGCCAGATGTGGTAGTGCGTGCCTGTAGTCCCTGCACTCAGGAGGCTGAGGCAGGAGGAAAAAACCCATATCTCTAGGAAGCACTTTTCCTCATCTTTTATAATCTCTTCGATTGTTTTCTCACCCTATTCACTGCAGTCAAGCAAAAAATACACAGGAGGTGGTACATATGTCAACTTAATGAGCACTTTATTATAATATCTTTACTAGGGCTCGTGGTATAAAAAAGACTAACACTGAGGCCTTTCCTGGCAAGAATAAACAGATTTGGCTGGGAGTGCCAGAATATTAAACTATATAAGGTGTCACGCACTGTATCAGGATCAAGGTGGGAAGATAAAGAAGGCCCTGAATTACAAACCTGATTTATACAGTCATGAGGACTGTTTCATGGACACAGTCACTGTCCATGACAAACAGCTGAGGAGTTTAGCAAAGAGTGCAATCTTGGGGCCAGGGAGATGGCTCAGTAGAAGAAGCACTTGCCTGGCAAGCACAAAGGCCTGAGTTCAATCCCTGGTTCCGCAAAAAAAAAAAAAAAAAAAAAAAAAGTGCAATCTTTAATTGTTCTTTCTGCCAAGTCTTACAAATTTTAGACAATCCCTAACTTACAGAAAACCTGTTTTCCACGCTGTGTGATAGTACTGTGTACTGCTAGCCTGTCACCCTCAATGCAAACACTGGTGCCTCCAGTTAAGCAGCACTGCAGGCTGGGAGTTAACACTGACAGATCAATGCACTCGGTGGCCCTGCTGCTTTGTGGGCACGTGTCCGCACCAAGCTGTCACATCATGCTCTTCTTCCAAGCTTCACATGGGACATGGTGTCCAAGAGAAATGTTCTTTGTCCTCCAGACATAAAAGCACCAACCGGAAGCAGGATACACAGCTCTGAAGATGGGCCTCCCTCCTCTGCATAGGACTAGGAACCAAAAAACACCCTCCTGATCCAGAGTGACTGTCACAAAAGCACACGCGACCATTGACAGCTTTTCTTCTTCAGAAAAGGTTTACCTGACCTCCTCCTGCTGAATAAAGCCACGCCAGCCCGGAGCTCTCCTCCTCTCTCCAAGGCCTTTTTCCCTCCCTCCTCCCCCAGTCAGAACCTGAGATTGAATTCCAGAGAGCGAAGGCTGGGTGGTACTGTCGCTATGGAGCTGCACTCTGACCTCAAGGCTGGAAGTCCTGGCTCCCACCGCGTGCACCGCAGGGCTCTTGTATTGCTGTGAAGGAAGGAGCCCCCCCTACATGTGTGCAGTGGGACAGGAAGGTGTGTTGTCTGGCTGAGGCTGGAAAAGGCAGTGCTGGCCTCCAAAGCTCCCCTGGGTAGCACGGAGACAAGGAGGGGTCAGCTGTCCACTGGGAACTGTCTTGCTGCACGGAGAGGCCCCTCTCACCTTGAGGCCTGCCCCAGGATGGGTGAGTACACATGCATCTGTGTACACAGCCCAGCTTGTCCAAAAGTACACGAAGCCAGGCGTGGTGTCACACACTTGTAATCTTAGCACTTGGGAGGCTGAGGCAGGAGGACTGCCATGAGTTGGAGGCCAGTCAGGACTACATAGGGAGACCCTGTCTCAAAAAACAAAAACAGCAAAAAAAGTAGATGTAAGTTAGCATGCGCACACATTCGTGTTTGTGTGTGTGTATGTGTGTGTGTGTGTGTGTGTGTGTAGTGCTGGGAACACAAGTCTGGGCCTCCCACATGCTACGAATGTACTGGATCACAGAGCCACACCCTCAGACCCTAAATTATCTTTCACTTTCCACAATTGTTTGGCAGTGTGTGTCCTTGGGCGCTACACAAGTTTTTGCAGCTCAGCCCCAGCCTACCAGGACCCTGAAGTGCGAACTTCAAGACCCACACAGCAGGGCTCCATGATGCTATATGTGGGACAGGGTGCAGCGTCTGGACTGGGGCACTCCCTCCTGCTGTCCCTCTGTCCCTGGTCCCCATACTGGCAGCCCTCCCTGGCCACAGCCCCAGGGATGAAAGGTGAGGTTGTATTTGGAGGGGCCAACCTCTGTAGAGCTCTGGTTACCATGGTAATGGCTCTGTCCTGGCCACATGGGTGAGGAAATCAGCCCATGGAGTTTGGGGACACACAGTACAGTCCATAGCAGTTGGTGACCTTGAGAAGATAAAGTGCTGACTTTTTCTTAACCTAGCTGTGTGCTTTTGGTTCACAACCCTTTATGGTCTGGAGATTTATGTAGCCCATTTTCCTGCTTGCTTGCTTGCTTTTGTGTGACAGGGTCTCACTATGCAGTTCAGGTTGGCCTTGAACTTACTATGGAGCCCAGGCTGGCCACAAACTCCCAGCAATCCTCCTGCCTCAGCCTCCTGAGTGCTGGGATTACAGGCATGCGCCACCACGCCCTCTTACTGTGTGCAGCAAAGGGACGCACATTTATCTTGCATAGCCACTGCTATAGGAAGGGCTGCAAGGAGGCCTGCAGGAACCTGGGCATCTAGGCATATTACCTGTCACTCCTCACAGAAGCTGCAGAAGAGGCCGAGGAGGCTGTTGACGGAATGGATGGCCACCAGAAGAAGCTGGAGGGCACTCACGCACAGGAGAACAGAGAAGAAGGCTACGTGCCAGACAACAGCCTTGGAGGGCTCCAGGCAGACTGAGCTCCAGAGGGAAGGATCATACAGATAATTTCTGTCCTCCAAAAAAGGTTCAGTTAGGGAGTAAATAAGGAATCCAGGCAGCAACCCAAGAGATGGCCCCAAGCCAGGCATGGTAGCGCACACCTATAATCCCAGTGCTTGGGAAACTGAGGCAGGAGGGTCTACCTCTGCAAAGACCACAAATCCAAGTTCCCAGCACTTACTTGTGCCGCAGGTCTTTGAAGGGGTAACCATATTTCCACGCCTGTGTCTGATTGAAGGATGAGATGTCAAACATACACAGTGGGCCATCTCTCAGGGCCACTCCGGAAGTGACAAAGCAGATGAGGGCTCCAAGCAAAGCCAAACCACTGGCAAGCAGAGCGGTGAGGATCTGCAGAGAGTGAGGGTAATAGGAAACATCCAACTCTCCTGTCCCCAGATTGTCCTCTCCCTCCCTGGGGTGGGGGATGCTTTGATCCCCAGCACTTCCTTTATAGCGTGGAGAAGGAGCGAGGGAAGGGGAGAGGCCCAAGAAAGAGACACTGGCACTTGAGCCTGCACCTTCCTAACTCTGGACTTTGGCTAGCAGGTTGACACCAGAGACCCTTGCATCTGGACTTTGCTTGGCTCTGTGAAAAGGGACAGATTGGCTTCACAAGCCCAACTCTGAGTTCTCTGAGGAAGGGTGGCCATGCCTCTTCCTCAAATCTAGGTTAAAAGGCATGCAGGGAATGAGAGAGAGAAAGGTCAAGGTTGCAGGCAAGGCCTGAGTGGCCCCATTACACCCTGTGGCTGCCCAGAGAGACTCCCTCCGGTCTCCAACCCTGCACCTTCACCTCCCTGCCTGCAGGTCACAGTGAATTTCTTCCTTCCACAAGAATGCATGTTTCTGCATGTTTGTTTTTTGTCTTTTTGAGACAGGGTTTCACTATGCAGTTCAGGCTGGCTTTGAATTCACAGGGATACTCCTGCCTCAGCCTCCTGAGTTCTGGATTACAGGCACGTACCACCAGGCCTGGCAAGAATGCATAATGCATGATTTTAATATGTGACTAAAACCTACAGAGTTTTCTTTTCTTTTTTTTTTTTTTTCAGAGTTTTCTTTACAGTCATTTTCCCACTGCTGTCAAGCTGGGGAGGGGGGTGTCAGGCAAAGGTGCTTTGTGAGTTTTAGCCCCAAGTTAAAATATTCAAGATTGCCTGCCAGGGTGGTACTTATGTGTAATCCCAGTGCCTGGGAGGCTGAAAAAGGAGGATCTCAGTGAGTTCAAGGCCAGCCTAGGCTACATAGTGAGACCCTGTCTCAACCTCCCCTCACAAGAAAACAGAAAGAGAGAAAAAATATATATATGTGTGTATATATATAT